GGTGGCACAGGGGTGATTTGGTGATGGGAAACCCGTGGGGATTACAATTGAGATGAAAAAAAAAATGTGAAAAATGATGTAAAAATATACTTTTTAATAAAAAAAACAAACAAAAAAAAAAACTGGGTACAGGCCAGAGATGCAGGGGTGGTGAGAGGATTCACTAGAGAGAGAGTAGGGAGCAGAACAGGCAGAGCGATGAAGTACACTGCTGAGGGGAGCAGCGGGCGGGTCAGGGGAGGTCTGCTGCGCCATGTGGATCACCTCCAGGGCCTGTATCGATCTCACACTGTATCGATCTAGCCATTGAATGTGGCTAGTTTGCAGTGCTGTGTCCTAACCCCTTGCACTGCCAGTGAGGGTCCTGTTTCTGAATCTTGACTCAGGTTAATAAATAAAAATTCTAATATCTAACATCTATGTACACAGTTAAAGCTTTAAAAACAAAGAAAAACCCACAAAATAGCAAAAACTAGAAAAAGCTAAATTTCCATAGAAGATTAGGTTAAAATATTGTAAAATCACTAAAGACAAAACTGGGAACCTCCCTGGTGGCACAGGATAAAGAGATATTCCCAGCCACTACAGTATCAGTTCTTACCTGAGCCAGGGATGAGACTTTTTCTGTCTCATCTCCTGCTCCCCTCAGCAATGTATTGCTGTCAATCCACCTGTTCAGCTCTCCACTCTGTCTCTGGTAAATCCTCACACCTGCATCTCTGGCCAGGGAGCTAAACCACATGGTGTGGCCGACCTTTCCTGTCTTGCCCACCGCTCCCCTCAGCAATGTATTTCAGTTAACCTGCCTGTTCTGCTCCCCACACTGTATGTGGTGAATCCTCTCACCCCACCCCCCATATGTTTGGCCAACACCCCAGTTCTCAGATGCATAAATAAGTTTGCACAATTAAAAAGGATGAATTTCACTCTACATAAATTATTCTTCAATAGATTTTACTTAAAAAATCGTCAAGTGACAAAATGAAGGAGTAATTTGTTTTGTAGGGTGCATAGACTCTTTGAAACCCGAAAGTTAATTAATTCAAGTTATAAAGTAATGAAGAAACTGAAAGGTAGAAAACTATACATTTACTCCTAGACTCCTGTATTGTACTGCTACTGTTCCCAATTAAAAAGGAAAGAGAGCAATAAAGAGTGAACACTAAATAAGGTACTAGTCTCTAACCAAAGGCTCCCTTTTCAGGCTAGTGATCTAATGATTTAACTAATAAAACAGACAAAACTAAGCCTAAGAAAATTAATCAATGAAATAATATTTACCTTTAGAGTCGGCATTTGGGAACAGCCTGTTCCATGGCACCTTATTTTTGTGTGGAAGAGAAAGCAAATAATTTCTAGCTTTTAAATTTATTATACAATTCAGGTCTTCCTGTGATGGGGATCCAAGAATACCTATCAGATAAAATAACCAGCTGTTAATAGTCAAGAACAAGATAAACCAATCACATACCACCAGCTGTGGGGCAGAATTAATCCTGGTAATCAATGTCATTTTACCACCTCCCAATGGGTGCCTTTTGTACATGGGTTTTTAACATCTTAAGTCAAGTGAGACTAGAAACTCATGTTTAACATAGGTTAAAGAGTTATTGGAACACTTCTTAATTTAATGAAGTGATTCTGATGTAAAATGTAGGCAGGTAAGCTGAGTAAACCTAGCCCCCAGAGAGCTGGAAACCTTACCCAGAATGTGGTTCAGCTGGTCAAGATAATGCTTTCCTGGGAAGATGGGCCTATTGGAGAGCATCTCTGCCAGAATGCAGCCTACAGACCAAATATCAATGGACTTGGTATAGCCCTGCCATGGAAAGGAAGAAGAGATTGAGGATATTTGGTGTGACATGACATAGTAAGACTCTCTTATATGACAGACACATGGCTGACACGAGTTTTAACTGCTACTCTGATTTTATATTTCAGAAATAAATGAAAAAGCATATTATTTGATTTTATTTCTCTCTTCAAAGCTGATTAACTTGTTATTAAATAAGAATTTCTGAATTATACTTCAGTACTTTTGCGAATGATTTCAGAGAAAAATCTGTGTAAGTTGGAGCTGGAAAAGGTAAACAGTAATATCTAGAACATGTTGGTCTGTTTATTCATTTTGGAAACCTAGAAACCAACTTAAAGGAAAAAGTGTACAGCTACAGTACACTTAAGAAATAGATTCCATCTATTTTGCAAGTCATTTTCAATTTAAAAAGTCAGGTTGAAAACCCTTAGTCACTGGAAAATAAAAGTGCTGACTCCATAATTATTTCACCAATTCCCTATATTTTTTTCCTATTTGTTTTTCAGATACAATTTTTCTTTTAAAGGAATTCTATGAAAAGACATGGAAGAATTATCTACCTAAATCATATAACAGTGCAGAAAGTATGTTTTGTTTTATAAAGGTGTGCCAGGGCTACCTGTAGAAAAGGCTATACCATGTCTGGTACTATACAGTAAGCCTGAAACATCCGTTGCCAACAAGCAGTGGGTATAAGTTAAAAGTAGCTCACACTGGAAAATCTGCGACCATTTAAGCATCAAGATAGAGTGGATTATATCATTAAAAAATATCATCATTAGTGAATGGTAGAACTGAGTGAAAGTTTGGTGAAGATAATCTGAATAGTACTCCTGCACAAATTCCTATTATTATCGTAATTATTATCACAATATTACTATAATTATCACCATAATTGTGGTTGGAGACCCCGAGGACACCATCACAACAAAAGGTTAACATGAACCCCACCAATATTGACATAAACCAGATCTAGCCCAGATATTATGCACTGAGAACAAAACATTGTTTCTGTGGTATTCAGGCCCAAAATGCAAAACACAAAATTGAAATGCATTCTACAAAACAGCTGACATGCACCCTTTAAAAAATATCATGCTCATGAAGGCTGAGTAACTTTTTCAGATTTAAGGGACTAAAGACACAATGCAATGTAGGAGTCTGGACTGGGAGAAGAGAAACCATAAAGGTTATCTTGGGACAGTGTCCACAATCTGAATATAAACTGTGTGTTAGATATTGCATCACTGTCAAATTTCATAATTACTGTATTATGTTCATGTTAAAATATCCTTCAACCCTGGCATTACTGATACTGTAGGCTATGTAAGTCTTTGCTGTGGGAACTGTCCAGTGTGTTGTAGGATAGCATCTCTGATGTCTATCCACTGGATGCTAGTAGCATTTATCTCTCCAATTTTGCAACCAAAATTGCCTCCAAACATTGCCAAATGTCTTTGAGGAACATTAGGGTCACTATTATATTGAAATACACCCAATACACTCAGTGGTGAAGGGGCACAACTCCAACTTAGTCCCATAGCATGCAGGAAAACAAACCTAAGTAGGGGGTATATAAGTGTTTACTATACCCTCATTTCGCCTACAGATTTGAAAGTGTTCTAGTAAGAAAAATAAACAGTGCTCTTGATAGAAGCAACATTCTCAGGCTAGAAGTGCTATTGACTTTAAAAAATTTACTCAGTTTTCACTTATAGGTAACTGCACAAAGGGCATGCGAGGCACCTTGCAGAGTCACAATTAGGCCACCATCCTGTGTTTGTTTGTTTGTTTAAATGCAAGCTTGCTCCTTACCTTGGAGTTCAACATAATTTCTGGAGCCCTATACCAACGTGTAGCTACATACTCTGTCAGGAACCCTGTGTGATCATGGTCTGGATCTGCAACACGGGCCAATCCAAAGTCACAGATCTAAGAGAAAAAAGTAGGACAGTTACTTAGATATTCTAATCAATTTAATATCAAAACATAAACATCTAAAAAGACAACAGCAATATTAATATTAGTTACTCTATTACTACATAGCAGATATTTTGCTGGGAGTTCTACAAACTACTTAAATAAGAAAGGTGGCAATGACAATCCACCTGTCAGGAAATAGGCTGAAGGAGCCTTTAAATATCACACACTTCAGCAGACATTCCTACCTCTCATCAGCTGTTTCTCCCAAAGCAATCTCATTTAGGCCACTTGGCTGTTCTGGATAAAAACAAAGCCACCAATACCATTCTTTCTCAGGCCCTGTCCCACTGGTGCTCCTGAGGATATCACCGCAAAGATCAGCTCCTCAACCTGTATTTTCCTTGTTTCTCAGATTTCTTTCACTTGCTCCATAAATGTGATACATCCAAAGATTTTTTTCCCACGTCCCAACTAATTTTATGTAGGCCAGTTCACTCCCAAAGTTCTAAAAGATGTCTCGTACACTGCAGGAATATAATTTTTAAAACCCATTTTTTAAATGACTTATTGCTTTTAATATCAAGCTCCTAATTTTCTTATCACTCAAAAAAACATCTGCTGACCTTTTTTTTTTTTTAAAGATTTATTTATTCGTACAGAACTGGGGTACAGGCCAGACATGTGGAGGGTGAGAGGATTCACCAGAGACAAAGTGGGGAGCAGAACAGGCAGTCTACGAAGCACACTGCTGAGGGGAGCAGCGGGCGGGTCAGGAGAGGTCTGCCACGCCATGTGGTCACCTCCGGGGCAGGCGGGGATCGAACTCATGCGGAAGTGGCTTAAGCTTCTTTGTGCTGTGCTTTAACCCGCTGCGCCACCAGGGAGGGCCTCTGCTGACCTTTTAACATGTGGCTATCCAGGATTTTAGTGATATTCATCTGTTTTGTGATTTCCATATTTTTATATGTAGCGACTGCATTTTTAAAAGAAGAAAATAATACATCTGCTTGTATAGTCATTCTTCCAAAGGTTACTTTATTATTGTTTTTGAAATATTTATTTATTTATGCATACAGAACTGGGGTACAGGCCAGAGATGCAGGGGCAGTGAGGGGATTTACCAGAGACAGAGTGGAGTACAGAACAGGCAGATTGACTGAAATCCACTGATGAGGGGAGCAGTGGGCAAGACAGGAGAGGTCTGCTGCGCTGTGTGGGTTGCCTTCCTGGCTGGGGCTCAAATTCGTGCTGAAGCAGCTGAGGTTAGCTTCATAGTGCTGCACTTTAACCTGTTGCACCAATAGGGAGGGTCCCCATTCATTATTTTCAATGTATTTCTCTCTAGAACTACTTGATGAGGAAATCCTGGGTCCTGCTCTATTGCCCTGACAGCTAACTCCAGCCACTGTTCTCTCAGTCTATATAACCTCCACTATAAGTAATTTTCAAAGTTACATTTCCATTGGCTATAGACCTGTCAGATGATCTGGTTAGTGTATGGCCATCAGCCTTTAAGCAGAATCATAGAACTTCCAAATTTAGTATGACTGATCTTGAGACTTTCAATGTACCTGTACCCTATTTTTTTTTAAAGATTTATTTATTTATGTATACAGAACTGGGGTACAGGCCAGAGGTGCAAGGGCTGTGAGAGGATTCACCAGAGACAGAGTGGGGAGCAGAACAGGCTGACTGACGAAGTACACTGCTGAGGGGAGCAGCAGTCAGGTCAGGAGAGGTCTGCCACGCCATGTGGGTCACCTCCAGGGTGGGGACTGAACTCATGCTGAAGTATCTTGGCTTCCTAGTGCTGTGCTTTAACCCACTGCACCACCAGGGAGGGCTGGTTTGTTTTTTTTTAAAAAAGCATCTTTCCTGCTGAGAAGGCTTTCGACAAAGTTCAACACCCATTTATGTTTAAGGCCCTTGAAGTCCTCGGAATAGAAGGAACATACCTCAACATGATAAAAGCCATCTATGATAAGCCCACAGCCAATATTATCCTCA